GGTGACACCACCAACAGCCGGGGAGGGTGCGGGGCCACTGGACCTCCTCGTACTGCTGGTGGGAATGTAAAATGGTCCAGACGCTGGAAAACGATTTGGCAGTTTCTTGAAAACCATGACTCAGCAATCACACTGCTGCGCATTCATGCCAGAGAAATCAAGGCTTATGTCCACAAAAAACCTGTGCACCAACGTTTACACCAACTTTATTTGTAAAGGCCCCAAACTGGGAAGGACACAAAGGTCCTTAAACAGGCAAACGGCTAACCCGACCGTGGCACGTCCACAAGCGGACTACTCAGCCAGGAAGATGACCCGTTACTGACACAGACAGCAACCTGGAGTCTACAGAGAATTATGCTGAGTGAAAACAGCCAGTCTCAAAACATCATCTACTCTGTGATTCCAGTTAAATAACATTCTTGAAGCGACAAGATGAGAGGTGAAGAACAGGTTAGTAGTTGCTGTGGGCAGGGAGTGTGGGCAGGAGGGAGAGCTTCGTGGTGATGAGACTATTCCCTGTTTTGCCTGTGGCATTGGTTACATGAATCTACACGAGTCACACGGTGGCATGGAACTACACACAAACCTTGGTTTTGACGTTGTTTTATAGCTACATGAGATGTAACCACTGAAGTACCTAGAATAGACACATGTCTAGAGACAGCCAGCACATGCTTAGCAGACATGACAGACAATCCCCAGTACCTCCATTAAAAAATAATAAAATAAAAAAGAACAGAATGTATTAAAAAAGAAACAAAGACTAGAGGTCACTAGTGGGTGATGAGGGGAGGTGGGCACTTAGTGCTTAAAAGTTAGAGTTTCTGCTCTGGGTGGTGAAAACGTTTTGGAAACACTGTGGGCATAATCAATGCCACTAATGATACACTTTAAAATGGTTAAATGGCCAATTTTGTTGTATGTACTTTACAACCACTTTCAAAAGTTGATGTAATATACCACAAACCATTGAATTTAAATGGGTGACCTGTATGGTATGTGGATTATACCTCGATGTTACCAAACGGAACTTGAGTCCACTCACCCGACACACAGCAAAGCCAATCCACTGCACCAGGTTGTGGTGAAGGAAAGTACAGTGTTTATCGCAAGAACAGGCAGCTAATGCCCCATATACCCGAGCTCCCTGACGGCTCTCAGGGAGGATTTTTAAAGACAGAGTGAAGAAGGCGGGTCACTGGGTGGGTGACCAGCTTGTGGACAACCTCTGATTGGTTGACGGTGAGGTAGAAGGGTGGTATTTCAGGAATCTCAATGATCAGTTTTCTGGAGTCTCTGTGCTGGTGTTCAGCAGGCAGTGAACTTCTTCCACCTGGTGGGGGTTTCAGTATCTGCAAAACCACTCAAGACTGTGGCTCAGGATGTCATCTCTAGCCCTTGAGGAGGAACTCAAGGTCCTTGACTTTGTTTATGGCTGAACTATTATTATTTTGTCTTGCTTGACTGCTTTGTTTCTGCATTTTCTCACTTCTCTGATTAAATTTGCTCTTTGGAACTCAGGGAAGTGCTAGGAGGCCAAAGCTCCTCTGCAGAAAGGGTAGAGGGACATGGGGGGGGGGGGTCTGTCCCTGGGCAGGTGTTGCAGGGTACTGTCTGGTTTCAAATAAAGCTAATTTTAAAAACATTTTAAAAAACACACAGGAGCCTCCTTGAAGGTACTTCCACTGGCCAAACTGAGGACAATCTGAGGATCAAAATAATGACAGGAAAATATTACATTTCTTCGAATAAACTAGGAATCCATGAGTCTTTGTTGACATAAATAAATACGTAAAGAGAAAGCTTTTTTCCCCCATAACAATAAAATTAGAAACTCACTCTTTGGCAACCACCATGATCATTAAGTCAGAGAAAAAAATAGTAACTTGAAAAAACTAGCGAGTGAAAGGTGAATGAGGAACGGAATGTTTACATAGTCTCAAAGTATCTCCCCACAAAATATTAAATACAAAAAAGAAAAAGAGTAACCTGAGAGTGAGGAAGCCTGGGCAACTCCACCTTAATTAAGTGATGAAATCAACTTCTCCAGGCCTGGAACTAACTGACACAGTGCCACCTGATCATGGCCGTGGTCTGTGTCAAGGACACCAAGGTCAAAGACTGAGGAGCTGTTCCCGACCGAAGGGGACAAGAGGCACAACCTTTTGCTGAAAGGCCATTACTGTAAAAGGTCATTACTGGGGTGACCGGTGTGACCTGAGGATTTGACTTTTGAGTTCTCTGGGTCAAGGGTATATGGGGGTTCATTGCACAGTTCTTGTAACTTTAACTTTGAAATTACTTTCAAAAACTTTGGATCTTTCAATTCATTTTAGGAATATTTAAGGCTCCCTACTGGTGACTACCATAAAAACTTCCTCAAACCAATCAAAGCCAGGGCTTGCGCATTAGTTCTCTGGATGCCAGTGGGCCCTGAAGGTGCACATTTTTGTCTCAGTCAAAAGTTCCCACCAGAGGGCATCGCTTACTTAGATCATCCATAATATTCCAATTCCACATCTTGAGGAATTTTCAGCTCTTATGACTGGGATCTGTGTGTCCCGAGCATGTGGTTTTCCTGGAGAGGTGGGCACATTCTTGGACTTGTCCACCCTCTTCAATTTCTGTGGGACTTTCATGAAAGTTTAGGTCGGGATTGAGGCTATAAGGTGCCCTTCCCATGGGTCTCAGGTGGGGGCAAATCGCAGCTCTTGGACCTTATGATCTGCTGACTTCAGGGGCATACTGTTCCCTGTGACTGGCTTTCCAGGGCATCACTGCCCCAGAGGCTTCGTCCTGACCCTTAGTGTGAAATAAAAATAATGTATCAATCTATTAAGGGGTTTTTAACCTATGTAAAAGTACATAACATAATCCACAAGTCAGATAATAAATGGGGGGAAAACTTCTATATTAGAAAAGAAGAATAAAATAACAGGGACCTACTGTAGAGCACCTGGAACTATATTCGATATCTTGTTAATAGCCTATAATGGAAAATAATCTGAAAAAAAATATATAGATAACTGAATCACTTTGCTGTGCACCTGAAACATTGTAAATCAACTATACTTCAACTTTAAAAAAGTTATAGTAACAACAACAAAAAAGATCTCAAATCAATGACCTCAGCTTCTACCCTAAGAAACTAGAAAAAGATCAGCAAATTAAACTCAAAAAGTAAGCAGAAGAAAGGAAACAGTAGGTCAAAGTAGAAACCAATAAAATTGAAAAAGGAAACAATAAAGAAAATAAATCCAAAAGGCAGTTCTTTAACAAGATTAGTAAAACTGACAAACCTCTGGCAAGACTGACAAAGAGAAAGACGACACAAATTGCCAGTATCAGCGACGAGACGGGTGATACCACGACACTCTACATATACTAAAAGGAAAGTAAGGGAATATAATGAAGAATTCTGTGCCAATTAATTAAAAAATTTAGAGGAAATGGACCAACTCCTTAAAAGACACAAATTACCAAAAGTCGCCCAAGAAGAAAATGACAACCTGAACATGCACGTATCTATTAAAGGAATTGAATTTATAATTGAAAAACCTTCCCAGAAAGAAAACTTCAGGCCCAGATGGCTTCACGGGGAATTCTACAAATATTCAGGGAAGAAGTAACATTAGTTGTACAAACTCTTCCAGAAAATTCAAGAGGAGGAATTTCCCCCCAGTCCGTCTGAGGCCAATGTTACCCAACACCAGACAAAGATATTACCAGAAAAGAAAACCACAGATCAATATCCCTTATGGACTGAGATGTAAAAAATTCTAAACAAAACTTCAGCAAACTGAACACAGCAATATATAAAAGTGAAAATGTCTCCCGACCAAACGGAGATCATACCGGGAATACAAGCTAGTCTAACACTAGCAGTCAGTCTGGCTTCGCTTTCAGTGGAGATGGATCTCCGTCGGCCCGGAAGGAGAGGGCCAGTGACC